GTTGCTTGGTGCTTGTACTGGTGTTAAAAAATGGTCACCACCGGTCATCATTGTTTAGGGGGAGGGGGGAACTTTGTTATGTGGAGTCAATATTTATCGATCACCTCTAAGGGAAGGCGTGCCAATTGCTTTTGCCATTCATGTTGGTCTTATTAGGTTCGTCAGGCAATTTTAGGCGAACAATCAGTGAATATTTACCACTCTCAGTGCTTTGGAGAGTTCGCTGAGTATCATATCCTCATCAAATAGTTTGTGGTGGAAACGATGTTCGTAATAGTCCTCCACTTTAAGACGAATGCGCAGCGGCAGTTTCCGGTATCGCATATACTCCTTCACTTGACTCAACTGAAATGCCCAATAGTCGCTTTTTACAACATTTTTTCAAATGTAAGGCGGAGGACTAAGAAAACTTAATGATAACAGATATGTTTCTAAACCAGCTGTAAGGTGAAGCAATAACAATACTTTATGATATGTTTCTAAACGTGCCCCATAACTCTTCCCTCCCCTCCCCTCCCGTCTTTCTTCCCTGTCATATAAGCTTCAATTTTTATTTTCTCTCTCTGCATTTGAGTGGTGGTATTGTGGCTAGTGCTTTTGACTCAAAAAAACAAGAGGTATAGCCGACCTTCAGCCCTGGTAACACTGTAACATTTTGTAGCATTCTGTAGTGGTTAGATCCTCGCAGACATGGTGAGACAGTTCTTATAATCATGGCAGTTGGTTTTTGATTATTTTATAAATTAGATAAAAGAGATTTTACAAAGCTTTCGTTTTGTAAAGATTTGCATGCGCTGATCTCGTCGAAGCTTCTCGTTATCATTGCCATGGGTGCTACTGCTCTCCCATCTCCTGCTTACCTTTTCGTTGTAAAGCCGTCCTGACGAATCAATAGACATTATTAAACTGGACATGATGCCGATGAAGACTGCATAGAAGGTCGCGCCTATGGTCATACTGCACAGCGTGATCCACAATTCAGTGATGGCCTGAGGTGGATACCGTCCGTAGCCAATACAGAGCATATGGGACATGGCATTGAACAGCGCCCAGCTATACTGCATGGCTGGGGGCTGGTCCTGAATTAGAAGACACAACAAGACATATGTTATCGCCATCCATCAATTTCCAGTGCACCGGACTACTCCCCTCGGGAGGTTGAGGGTGCACTAAAACACAGGGTCCTCACATAAATGAGGGAGCGTGTTTCCAGAGAAAGTATATCTGCAAATGGTTTGGTCAGACATTCCAGTCTTCTGGGATAAGGAAAAAAACGGTGCGTCTCTTCTGCAACTTCAGTGTCATATGGTAGAGAGCTAATTTATGACTGGTCCCTAAAGAAAAACCAATGCACTCTCAGATTTCCTTAGACTTTCAAATGAAACAGGAGAGGATCCAGGGATTGTTGCTTAGGGTCGGCGTCAGTCAAGTAAAAAAATTACCTATCCTCCCTTCCCCTCCCCCCTCCCTCCTCCTTCCCCCTTGAGACCTTGCCTTTGCCCCCACCACCTCTACAAATTGTCCTATTTCCGAGCATCGTTTAAGGCGATGATTTTGGTTACAGCCACACGTTATTTGACACACAGCCCTAACATCATAACAACCTCTAATCCATTGATGACGACCCAGCTGTTTTCTGGGAATTCCAGCAGATACGGGACAAGAAACTGGACACAGCCATTCCAATGAGACAACAACAGCATGGAGCCAATCAGCTTCAAGATACGAATCTGACCACTAGATATATTCAGCAACTGCAACATTGAATTGAAATAACAGCCATGACAAATACAAAAGCAGTAGCAAGGGTATGAGATAAGGCGTTTGCTTGTAAACTTAAGCTTTGCAATAATATCGTTTAGTCTGGTGAATCGTCAGATAAATTTCATGACTCGATGTCATATTTTTAAAAGTTATTCTTCGTAGACTAAGCAATCATCGTTCGTGCAGTGTCTAATTTTTCTTCGTCAACTATCGGCTAACTTTCAGGGGGGGAGTAACTTGCAATGGATTAACCATCGGGAAGTAGTCGCATGAGTTCTCCGAATGTTCCAACGCTCTTAGAATGCACTCTATTGCCAAGGAAAATCGGACCAAGTCTGGCCCAGTCAGTGTGTTATGTGCCCAAGGATGCATAGTCCTCTCTGTAGATCTGAGTTTAACTATGATAAGATTGTTTTTATGCATAGTGTTATTTTTTCGACATCTGAGCTCAAAATTTACTCTTCTACTCTATTTAAACACTCGATAGATTCGACAATACTAATCCCGGCCGTATGCAGTGCATTTGTCACATTTGAAACTAGCAGATGACAAATTGCGTATGACAATAACTAAATACGCCAATAGTTGAGGATCGGACTACAAATTCCGAAAGTCTGCGGTTTCATTCATGCGAGGACTCATTTTGTTTTCTCCCACACTCTAAATCCTTCCATCCTCAAGATCTCATAAGTAAATCCCCTTACTGTCTACCACACAATTCTTATAATATAAGTTTGAAGTTTTGGTAATGAATTAACTAATATTCCCCAAATTAAAATTTTGCTTCATTTTCATGACTTGTCTTGTTATTGTATCGATATTGTAAGGAGAAATTCTGTCTTGGTCATTCTTGGGAGTTAAATGCCAATGAAGCGGATTACTTCTTAAATTTTGATGTCCGTCATTAGACAACTACGCAAACAGTGAGTATGCCACTTTATTTCTGCCCTTCCATTCAAAGGTCAACTCGTACCTCGCTTTAAACCAATGTTATGTCATAATTCAATTAAATTTTTCATATATATATATATATATATATATATATATATATAAAGATATTAATATATACTTACGAATATTATATATATATATATACCAGATATTTCTTTGACCCGCAGATATCAGATGCTAATCGAGGCGGGTCAATTTTTTTTCTTAACTACAGTAAATTTAACTTGTTTAAATCTGATTACACTGGAAATAACACATAAATGAAGAAATAACACGTAAAAAGACATTAAAAAATAATCAAGAAAAGAAAAAAGGGAAAATGATAGATGCTCATTGTAAAGGAGAAAAAGTCCTTGCGTTTCTAAGTTTACGAAAGATATTGTAGGACTGGTTCAATTTGTTTCAATTTTGCCGTGTTTGAAATTTAGTATTATCCCATCAGGCTCCATATAAGAATCTTATATAAAGTCTTAGACTGTTCTTAGACTGTTGAGAAGAGCCCATTTTGATTTTTTTTTTTTTGAAGGATTTCTCTGACAAAATTAAATATTCTCTTGATATCTCATTCCAGATTTTGACACGAACACGCGAATGATTCATGTGTGTAAGATGATGTGTCCCTCATAAACTAGTACTTATTTCCCATGCTAACACGGACATACCTCCTCAAATCTCTTGATGTATCGCACTAATCTTGAGACTCGAAGAAGTCGGAGAAGACTCAACAACTTAGCAAGTTTGAGGATACGAAGAGCCCGCGATGCCTTAATCAGCGTTTGCTGTGTGGACGAGGATGAAGCTATAAAGTAGGCGTAGTCAAAAGGAAGTGACGAAACCAGATCGATGACAAACCAACTACGCACGTACTTCCGGCGAATAATCTTTTTGTCTAAAATAACTTCATCATTATTGTTGGGATCAATAAAACCAGTTTTAAAATTTAAAAAAATGTCTATGAGGAAAATGCAATCAGAGATACCGTTGAGGATGAGCCAATGTAGCGAGAGATCGTCGCTTAGGAAAGCGATACTAACAGGTAGAAGAATAACATGCATAGAGATAAACATAATCAGTAAGATGTCCCAATACCAGCGAAATGTGCTGAAGGGGTGAATGACGCCTTTGCCCTTCCGCGCTTGTCGACGTTGTTCTATAAGAACTGCTGCCTTATTTCCGAATAGTTTCAGAGCCATTTTGTTATCTGGATTGGCAGCGAATATGTCTTTAAGAAACGTCGAGGCTTTCCCGCTTTTCTGTGTCGCGGCCAATGTCCTTTGAAGGTCAGCATGCCTTGTTAAGGTCTCGACGGTTGATTGCTGGTCTTTTGAGGGGCGGCCACGCGCCTCTCCCGCCTCGTTATGGCTGTGCAAACCTGAAAATTAGAAAAGCCAAGTTATCATATGGCTAAGTCTGTGAGCGGGAAAGATGAAGTGAATCGTGTCATTTGATTGGCTATCCGGGCTATTTGACGGGTAAGATTGGCCCATCTAGTTGGCTAGTGCTCAGTTTTTTGCAACTCGCTGACTTCGCACTGACCTAAATCACAGCTTTAACAGCTGAAATAAATGGGTTTCAAAATCTCAAGTGCTTGTAACTGCTATATAAATGACCTCGTCAAAGTTGTTAATTTTACATCCGGACTGGCTGAAATAACGCCGTGGGTTTTCTAAAGCAATCTGAGACAGGGCAATGAAGAAGAGCCAATACAATCGTGGTTTACTTGTTTTTCTTTCAATTGAATCTTACCTGGTGCAGGATATGAGTGCCTTCTTTTAGACATTCTTCTGTGGTTGATAATAATGATGGGTTGGTCAACTCCCTTGTCCCTGTGTCCGATATCATGTATCGATTTTTCCGCATCACACGGACACGGACGGATCAGTCCACACACATTGCAGCGGGTGTCATTAATATCTTTATGGCTGGACATAATATTTCTTTCAAACGTAAGCGCCAACAGAACTTGGATCGCTTTCCCTTAAAGAAGGACGTTTCTCAAGAAATCACACAATTGGCGATGCACCCTGTTGCCAGGCGCTTTAGTTAACGGTCAGAACTACATTGCGAAGGACGACTGGTAGGCTGAAACATTCGTGAAATCTGTGCAGTTTCCGCTATGGCAAGATTGTCCCTCTATGACGCAATACAATTGTGAATCTAATTTCAGCGCGCGCGTCAAACTCTAGAAGTACCTCTAAAAGTGGAGGGGCTTGGTGTAGTCGACATTAACTTAAATCCTAAATTCTTCAAAGAATGAAACAGTTTTTACCATAAAGGTTAAAGCAGAGTGGTCGACGAAAACGTAATAGATGGTAAAACGATTTGATAAACCACAATCTTAACCAAACCAACACGAGTACGTTGTCCTCAGCAAAAAGAATTGTATACCCTTTCAAATAGCAGTAAAGAGACGAACAGGGAATTTCGTACTATATCTCACGGTTCAAATTGAGGCCAATCTTGAGTGGACTACTAGGGCCTCCCAACAGATACATATTAACTTGCCCATGTGTTCAAGGTTTGTTTCCCTAAGTAGCGCAGGGTTGCATCAAAACGCAGTCTTAACAGACGAGATCTCCATTCATCTTGAATGTTTTTATTACATGTTGTCATCTTCATTCAGGATAACGAATGAAACTATGCAAAAATAACTCTGACAAGTTAGAACCACTCGTTAATTTTTTACGATGGGTTATTCCTCTTAATAAATTTACCAAATTCCTCGCTTTAGACCAAGGGGGTCGTAAAAAACTTTCCTTGGACGTCACACTTCCCATTGAAAATAAAATCTTAGTGTTGTGTTAAAGAAAATCGACTCAGATCAGTTTTGTTTAGACAAGTTGAAACTCTCGTTCAAGATATTATCGCGAGACTGAAATTCTAACTGATAAATTAATCTCTGCCAGAAGACTACAAAGAAAACCAATTTAAAAAAATTATGAAGCCTGTCAATCACGTCAACAATGTGCGCCTTCGGTTCTTTCAAATGGCTTCAAAAAGCGATTTATACACATTTACAAATCACAGGAGATTTTTGGTCTCAGGATGATTTTCACTTCATTGATTGCACAGCGTTCACGCATTTAGCCATCGTCTGCGATGCGCGACTTATTGAGTCTGTCATGTAGAAATCTTTTAGTTCCAAAATGCTTGCTTGCAGAGGCTGTTTCAAAGAGTGTGCTTTAGAGCTCTGAAATGAAAAATGAGAAATACAATGGTTTTACATTGAAAGGCATTTGCTGTCCATGAGAATCGAGGCTCATTCCCTTCACAATTAACCCTTTACATCCTAACATCAGTCTGCATATTCTCCATACTGTTCTCTATACATTTCCAAATAGGCTGACAAGGAGAATTTGTTTAACAATCAAGAACTGCTTTACTCCTCTATTCTCATGACTTTCATGTTGGATTCAGGGCGATATAGTAAGGAGAAATTAGATGCTAGTCACTCTTAGGGGCTAAAGGGTTAACACATTAATTAACAATCAGAGAAGACTCCGTACACGCGAACAATGGCGGGAAATTCCATAACACACGCTTGCCCTTTGGAAACGACATGCGCACATGCGTGTTTCTCAATGGCGGAAATTTGTAAGCCGATGCTTTTAAATGAAACTTATGAATGACATTGTTGTAATATACGGCTCTGGCAGTTAAATCTTACAGAATGTTGATGAATTACTGGCAAAACTCAAAATCAATCGTACCTGCATCAGACCCAAAGCCAAATTAAAGAAGTTCGCTTCCTCTACATCACCATATCGAGTCAAATTCGGTGAAACTTCGGAGAGTCTTCGCCGGATTTCTTCTAAGTTGTCGTATGGGAGAGAATTTCCAGCAATCTGTTCGGAAAGACAAACACATTGTATTAACCCATTTACTTTATATTTAGGTTAAACGAAAAGAGAGATGAAATAATTGTTGAAAACTTACTTCTGATAGCGCCCTGATGATCTTCCAATCATCTCTCGCGTACACGGGTGGTGTGACAGCCCTTCTTGTCTGCTGGGCCCTCCCCTCTGTGTTGACGTAAGTGGCGGTTTTCTCTGTATAGGCTGCACCAGGTAGGATGACGTCAGCGATGTGTGCACCCTGGTCTCCATGGTGACCTGAAAGGCAACAGACACGGAGTTAGACAAGAATCATTCGGGAACAATGATAGTCTCATGGCTGCTTTTATCGGGATGATTTTGGCAAAAGCGCGGATGCCTATACAGTGAGCATCAGACCACATGTTCTAAATTGCACACACACACACACACACACCCAAAAATAATCACACACCTTGATAGACAACGAAGCAGTCCTGAGGGAGATCTTCTCGTTTCACTAATCCAGCATCCTGTACATACAAAATAGGAACGTATTACAAAACCAAAGAAAGGAGCACTTCAATATTTTTGCAATTTAAAATCCGAAAATGAGTCCTTTCATGTAGCACACTGCACTTTCTAAGATAGTCACAGTATTTGTACATGTTACATTTCTGGGGCCATCTGCTTTCCACACTCAAGGTGTCTCAGCCTAATAAGCAGGCTGGCCCATACAAACTTCTCATATCATGCCGTTTTTTCAGCCCCAGTTGACGAGCTGAGAGTTCAGCTCAGTTACAATAGACATACTTCAGCTTTCGTATCAAAATAAACAAGGCACGATCTTTAAACCTTTAACTCCCAGAAGTGATTAACATGTAACATCTCCCTATATTATTCATACAGTAACCAGCAAAGAAGTAATGAGAATACTCAGAATAACAAGGTAACAATAACAAGAAGTTGTTACATTGATCTACCACGAAATGCTCGTAACTGATTTTAAAGGAAATGTGTAGCAGCTGGAGGGGAGAATTAACAAATAGATCTTGGGAGATACAGTGTAAAAACTTCGAAATGTTCATAAAGGAGAGAGTGGTAAGGCGGCAAGATCGCGGAAACCACTATAATATGATACCGACTACTATCATACGAAGGCCTCTAGCCCCCAAAACAAACTTAGTAAAAACGCGACATTAAAAAGTCGTGTAAAGAGCGCAAAATAACTCACAGCGCCAAGCAAGAACAGTAGTTTAGGTTTCTCTGTCATTTTGTCGACTCCCGGTCTGTATCCAATGTCCAAAGCGGCAACTTGGCTGGCCACCTACGAGATAACAACGGCCATTTGTTTATTGTTTATCACCAACTTTTTGTAGAGTTCACTTTTCTAAGAAACGGCTAGTTGAGATTTTCATCTGCACTAGAAACTCTTGTGAGCGAACATCCTCAGGAAGCAAAAAAGGTGTAAGTGACTGGAGCTGGCCACTAACGAGAATGGTTCCCATTGGCGGACTCCGTGGATGAAAGCGATAAACGGCTGTTTACGGAGGTTTCTCCGCTAACAATAAAACAATCGGGGTAACCACACAAGTGGTGTGTTGGAAATGTATGGGAACTGAGTGACGAAAATGCGAACACACACTAAAAAGAGGCAATGTAACCAAAGCACGGTTGAGTCGTGGTCATCAACAACAACGTGAAACTTGCTCTGACGAGGTGCCAACGCTCCACACGTCAGGTTTAGAAACCCTTAACAGTGGTAAATTAGCATTAACAACTCAGTTGATAAAAAAGACCATCTTTGACCCCCCCCCCCCTCCCCCCCTCATCAAACTTGCCCCTTTATTAAAATAAAAGGTTACCATCGATTGGATTTCCTTCCTTGTGCGCCAACAGGAACTTATTGACGAAAAAAACTAAAGATTCAATACGTCTACACCTGCTTGCAGGTCCGCTTATTCGTATTTATGGCGTCTGTAGGCTAGAAAGTTCATTCATTTTTTTTAACCGCAAAACAGTGACGCGGCTGAAAGATTAGTTTTGAAAGAAATGTAAATATCAGATCTAACTTTGATAATTTGGGAGAGGGTATAAATTCATGGGTGAACACATACCCTGTGTAATACATTGAGAACCTTCCATTCCTTGTCGACTTTCTTAGAACTTTTCAACTTCTGTGACATGTCAGCGACTATTTGATGAGTTGCTGCACCTTCGTGTCCCTGGAGAACAGTGTTTCCTACTAGGATCATTGGGCGCTCAGCATTCGCCAAAACCTACAAATTAAAAATTGAAATGTTCCATTGATTAACGAATGAAATTCGATGATTATACGATAAAGCTATCGTTTAAACTCCTGTGTCTCTAAAGATTTCTAAAGTAACACAACAGATTACTAAATGTAGCGATTCATTTTGTACAGTTCATCAGCTTAGGAGAAATACCTTTGAAAACGCGTGCTTCCCGGACACAATCTCGTTCAGTGTACTAGCCGAGTCGCCAAGATGCTGAAAGGTAAAAATAAACCATAGAGATCACGATGCAAAATAAAAGGACTGTCTACCACTTGCTGAACTGTTCCGTGCTAGTTGCTGATGTTTATAAACATCTTCCTTCACTCGAAACCGGAATCAAAATCTACCATCTTGCTCACTCGATGTCCACGCGGAACACAGCAACGTCCAACATTGCTAATCCTCGTGGTCACCTGTGAACTTTGAGTAAGGGCAACCTTACCAAAAAGTTTTCTGCGACATCTCGACTGCCTGAGTTACGAATGCTTATGACCAAGCTTGTGACAATTGAGTCACATCTTTCTGTATTAACATTATTCTAGCTGATCGCCGAAGAACGCTTTTCGATTGGGTATTGCAAAACCAAAGTAATCGCAGTAGCCAATCAGGAGAGAAGATATCCCAAAAGCCAATCAGAACTCAACGAAAAAACAAGCTAACTAGCTAAAGCGCGGGAAAACGCGCGTAACCGGGTTGCGAATTGTTTTAGCGTTGAATATGATTGTTCGAGAGGATACCACAAATTCTCACGACCAATCACGTGACAAGGAAAGCAAAACCAAGGCTATCCTGCATCACCCTCTACAAAAAACTAAAAATTGCTCCAGAGCTTAAACAGAGCTCGCATCATATATTGTACCTCGTATGAATAAGTGAGATCCACTTTAGTGCCGACCAGCGCAACCTGTAGGTCATTGTGCATCCATCTGGAAACATAATTATTATCCATTAAAGCTATTGAAACAGTGTATACTCGATCGAGACTGAGGGAAAGTTTACAAGTAGAGCTGAGGCTAATAGAAACGAGTGAAATAAGTGCAGAGTTTGCATAAGTGATTTAAAAACGGACGAACTGTTGCTACGGCGGACTTTTGTGGCAAAGGAAAAAAAGGGAAACTGCAAAGAGAACTGAGCCATCGTCAAATAATTGCATGAATGATTTCCTCACCCTTTGCGGATACGAGCATTTACCAGCGGAGCTTCATATCGAGGGTTGGCGCCAACTATCAACAACACGTCTGCATCCTGAAAGACATGGAAAATAAGTGTTGGATATCGAATGAATTTTAGGTTAAAATGGCCTACGCATTAAAGGAATGTTGAGTCACTCTGAGTATAGAACATCACTCTCCCGCAGTTAGACCTCAGACCCTTTACGCCCACTCTTGTGATGAGAATTGATGATGCTCCCCATAATGAGAGCGAGTGTCGTAAAAACTGGAACCACAGTCATTTCTACAGCCAAACAAAACAAAAGAAAATTTTACAGATACATGTCGCTGAGAAAAATTCAAAGTAGAGGCATCTGATCGGTTGAAATTTCTACCCTGATCACAGAACAAAGAAAATACTCATGCATCCCGGATCACTTTTGATGCTAAATTAAAAACGCTTCTTTCCCCGCTCACCTCAATTCCTGCTATGGTGCTGTTCATAATGTAACTGGACCTGAAGTCAGTCCTAAAAGCGACAAAACCAAAATAGAAATGGAATAAGTGGGCGAGAATCGCTCATAAATGTCGGGAAAAACTGCTTCTATTCGCACACAACGAAAGCAAAATGTTGCCAAAATGAGTATAACCAGTTGAAGCGTCTTCGATCTCCTTCAGAGCAGCAGCCAACACACAAAAGATACAGATCTGCTGAACACAACTCACCCTGAACCGTCTGCAGGAAATCCTTCCTCCGTGTAGAGCCCCTCACTGTCATAACTGTTAAGCAGGTCTTTCAAAGCTACCAGTGATTCAGCATCAGAAAAACCCCCAGCAACTGCTGCTACCTCGGCACCCTTCACCTGCGACAGTCTCTGTGCAACCTCCACCAAGGCTTCTTCCCATGTGCACGGCGTCAGGTTCCCTTTGTCATCTTTCACCATGGGTTTGGTGAGACGCTGACGTTTCAGCCCATCGTAGGAGAACCTGTTTCAAGAGTGATATGATGGTGAGCATAGAAATATAACACATGTACCAATGATGTACACCAACATGTGCTACAAGGTTAAATAATTTAGCAACAGTTGTAGCCAATGGATGTTTGATAGCTGGGGAAGTCTGATATATAAATATTGATCTTCAATAAATATATAACCAGTTCAGTTTTAAAGCTGGTTTATATGGAGGGGGGGGGGGAAGGGGGGACTGGGGGCTATATAAACAATCAAAAAGCCACAACACTGGGAGTTATTGAACATTCCCTACTCCTTGTGAGAAGGTGGGTTATTTACTGTCCCTTGCCAACCAGTACAGAGAAGATGCAGGAGATAGGGCCCACAGTTTATTGTACTTATGCCAGAAGACCAGAATGTATAGCCATCTACGGATGTCATAGCAAAGGCATCATATTCTCCTCAGTTATTTTCCTCAGTTATTTTAAGACCATGAGTGTTGGTCTGCTCTGGAATTTGAACCATTCACCTCCCACCTGGCAGTCCAGCACTCTCCAAGCATGGAAGTTGTTAAGAGTCAAAGCACATGTGGAGCAAGTCATGTAGTAAATGTACAACTCAGAAATCACAGAAACAGAATCCTTGACTTGAAAGATGTCTTCCATACCAATTCCCAAAGTGTCACTCAATCTCCCTCTGTAGGACACTGGCATTAAATGATGATTGATCACCAAAAAATTTGTCCAGTCACCATCCCCCCCTTATTCTTACCTTGTCTTATCTGATATCCACTCTTCATTTATATCCTGCAAAAAAATCAAAGTATCAGTAACTGTATAAACTTCACAATTATAATACAAAGCTTATTGAGACTTTGTATAATTACCAAAGAAAGGCTTCTCCATTTTTTGCCCATATAAATTTCCTAAAAAATGTCAGTATCTGGGCAACTGTCCACCTACCCCTCCCCTAACCCAACCTTAACCCTCAGTTGTCACCAGTTGACAGTTGTTTGGTAAGGGGAGGGGTGAGTGTGTAGTTGATCACATATTGACATGATCCACATTACCTAAAAGTATGCAGTTTTAATATTAAATTAAAGCAAATTTGATCTTCAGGTGTCTTTCTTATTGGAGTAAAGTCTCTAGCTCTTTTAGAATACCTCATTCATCCTGGGGATAATCCTCATGACTTCACCACACCGAGTGTTTACAACAATGTTACTTCCAACTGCATCCATGACATCAACAGAGTCAGTTTTCCTATAACAGAGAACATCAGTCAATCTAACTCAGTAACCATTGCATTGCGTCAACAGGCACATGTAAAGTAGCTGAAGATCATATTGTGCATGGAATAACAGTAGACTCTCTTTTCAGGGAAACAATTTTTACATACAGCATGTCAAAGATAGGACAGTGTAATTCATGTGTAGAAGTAATGTTACTGTTCTTGCTTATTCAATTGCCAGTTATGTAAGACAAAAGACAACAAAAAACCTCACCTAAGTTCCCAAGGTCTGGATGTAAATGCATATGGTTTGGATGTTAGCGCACCCACTGGACAGAGATCTGTGAAATAAACGTGAATGGCTTAGATCATATCAGACACCAGATATGGCAGACACTTGAAGATCAGTAGCAGTGGAAAATGGTAAAATTCCAGAGCTGCATGATCCCTGAAGGTGTACATTCCATTTTGAAACTCTGGGACTAAGACCAAGCCCAAGCTATTTCAGTGGTACAATTCCTTACAATTACTATTGCTTTACTCTGACTAATAAACATGAAAGGTCGCTTGGTGACAAGAAATAAGGTTGAAATACTTTCTTTTGCATCTGTTTTTGTGATATACAGTATGTGTACTGCGTCAGCTTTTAAAATACATTATGAAATTTTCAAGTGGCAGAAATCACAAGCTAAAGTCATCCAACACAAAGATCTTGACCACTGTGCTCCAACTTCCTTTTGACAGAAATCCTTAGCTAGGGTATAACATCAGCAAATCCTAAACTCAGAGAACTACATGTATGACACAAGTACAAAACTTTGAGACCCACTTGCCAAGGCTGGTGAGATTTCAAGATTGAGTGAAAAATTTGTGAAACATAATTCAATTTTTTTGTGCAAATATAATTACATACCTATTACATTTCCTGAAAGCTCAGACTTGAACATTTTCTCTACATAGGTTCCAACTTGCATGTCATTTCCTCTTCCTGTTGTTCCCAGATCATCTACACCGGCTATCTCACTTGCAAACCTTGAAATAGTATAAAAGAAGCCCTAAATGTCAGTTTTATACATGAAGTTAACTCATTGTTGGTGGCATGGATCTTTTATTAGGACTCCTGATGAGATAATGAAAATGTGATCTTGGTCACAGAATCTCTCTTACCTTATACACCTTGTGCAGTGAATGCAACGAGTCATGATGGTTTTTACAAGAGGTCCAACATTTTTGTCTTCTACAGCCCTGGAAAAATCAAGGAATGACATGAAACCTAACCATGCACATACAGACACACAAGCAGTACAAGCCAAACCACGAGAGTGAACAGCCTTGGGTTTTCACCATTTAGAATGCTACATAACAATGTACATCTTTCCCTGCACAGTAAATTTTTTCAATGGCCTGTAATATTTCTTTCACAAATACATGTATATTAACCCATTCACTCCCATGAACTCATTAGTAATTTTCCTTACAGTCTGCTATACAATATTCATGACGTGAGTTTTGAGAATTAATTTTGGTATTGCATCTACTAATAATTCCCCAATTGATGTTTAGCTTTATTCTCATCACTTGTCTGCTAATTATTGTATTGATGCTGTCAAGAAAACTTCTGTCTTGCACACTCATGGGAATTAAAAGGTTTATCTCAAGACTAATGCCTCAGTTTAGTACATTCTTAAGAATTTGCAGTACTGTAAGTATAAATCTGAATTTTTATCATTTGTCAATAAACACAGTACCTTTTCCCTGAAAAGCTGTTGTCAACAAATCTGCTTCTGTCACTACCAAAGGCCATAGATTGATCTTGCAGGTCACACTCCCCTCCCTGGTCACAGATGGGACAGTCCAGAGGGTGATTCACCAGAAGAAACTCCATCACACCCTCTCTGACAAAAAAAAGTTA